GCCTTTACACGAGTCTCTATTGTACCATTTTGATTTTTTACTTTTCCAAAGTTATTAGCCGTATAAAAAATTTAGCATTTTTATGTTTAATACTCATATTTTACACACACATATGTATTTTTTCATGTATATTACATTTCAAAAAAATTTCAATAAAAATATTTAAATCTATAAAGTATATATCGAAACTATCAAATTAATATCTATAAAGTATAAATCTATGCAAATAGAATGGTATTTTTTTTTAATAAATAGTATAGCCGTGCGGCTATACTATGATTTTTATATTATAGAAACAGGTATAGCCGGTTGGCTACACCCTTTTGATTGGTCGCTAGAACTTGTGTCAAAAATATGCTATTGGAAAGCTTATTGACCATTGATTCAATATGTAAAATGTTACTACTAGTATGTGGATGAGGGTGAAGGTAAGGGTGAGCTAGCCATTAGAAGGGAATATGCATGGTTCAATTCCCCAAGTCTTCTTAGTAAGTTATACAACACCAAACTCAAACTGTATATATATGCTTTGGGTTGGGACCGCCAAGTAAACAGAAATAAAATTACATGAGCCTCTAATGTAACACCCCGACTCTATTTAATTTCGAATGCAAAGGGTAAAACTAAATTAAATGTGAAATTACGAAACTACCATTGGGGTAGGGTATTTCGGTCATTTTCTTGTCCGAAAGGATTTTGGGACCACAAGTAGTTTGGTTGCGTAGGTGGTTCTGAGATGAATTCGTGGACAGGTGGTAGGCTTGAATCGGAGTTATAACGAGGTTTTGGTGATGAAATTTCTGTCGGTGGCAAAATTGTAAATAATTCGAAAAGGGTATTTTATTTTTTTAAAACAAAAATCAGATTTTTTATTTCTTTTTCTCTCTCTCTCTCTCTCTCTCTCTCTCTCTCTCTCTCTCTCTCTCTCTCTCTCTCTCGTGCGGTTTCTCTCCCTCCCGCGAGCACATCTCTCCCGCTCGGTGCAACCACCGATTCCGACCACCACAGACCGTGACACTGGTACCAAACTGACCGGCCGTGCCCCACCGTCAAACCCCAGCCAAGCTCCGTCGCCAGCAACTGCAAATTTCGCCGGAAATTGCAGAAAATCCGGCGGTTTTTCCCGAATTTTCAACTCGCTCGTTCTCTCTCATTTATCCACCAAATTGGACGTATAAGGTATGTATTTCTACCTATTTTTCATGCTCTAGCTGATGGTTGGATAGGATTGCATCGATTTTGAGCGTAGAATGCCTGATTTTTGAATTAGGTTTTGGCCGGATTTCGGGATGAAATTCCGGCCACTTCCGGTCAATTTTTGGGGTATGCCCAAGAACAAAAGTGACTCCAATTAGGGTGTTACATCTAGGATAGGAGTCTTGAGCCGAGATTTTGAGATTTTCCGGCCAAGCTTAATCGCTTTGGACACCCGCTTGCTGCCAGCGCGTGTGGCGGCGCGTGGGCAAGTGTGGTGGAGCTGTAAATCATTCCAGTGTGATCCTTAGGTTGTCACGAGCGTGTAGGATTTCGCGGATCTCGATTCCGAGGTTGTTTGAGAATCGAAC